AGTGCTGCCCACCAGCTGCTAACAGCTAATTAGCTTAGCTCTCCTCCAGACCTTTCCAACAAGGATTAGTTGTTAAAAGTAGCATTAGCAGGAAAAAAAGTTGCATCCCTGTATAAACACACATTGTCAAATGCACAGTTAAAATTAGTGCGCTTCTCAGGCAGATCTTATCTTAGCTGTTTTTCCTTGGGTAGTCTCTATGCTATGCTAAGCTAAGTTAGCCAGCTGCAGGCTGTAGCTTCATATTCAGCAGACTAAAATGATAGTGGGATTAATCTTTTCATTACATTTTTGGCAAGAGAGCAATTAAATGTGAAAACTTAACACAAAGTTAGAACTATTTCCTGCTATTTCAGTTTCTGCTCCTCAGTCTCTGTATGTTTGAGTGAAGTGGCAAAATCCACAATAATTTACAACCAACCAAAAATAAATTACAGCAAGTGTCATAACTACAAATCGACAGTGTTGCATAGAAAGATTTGCCACTACTGGCAGGGACAACAAACCAATACATATGAAATAAGTAATAAATAAAGGTGGTGTTGCACAATAAAAAAAACTTGACCTTCCTTTGTCATACACTCAAAAAAACGATTCAAGCCCTTCTTAGACTTGACACATTAATAATTGTTTCACTTTACTTAAATATTTTTATTTAAGAAATAAACCTAAGTATAGTTCATTAGTGTAACACAAATTACATTAATCAATTCACTTATTAAATGTATTTAAGACAGAGCAACTCAAAATGAATTGTTTTCATTTGGGACCGCCCCTTTGCACATCACCTTTGCGCATGCACAAGATCCGTTCTGTCATTTGCCGCCTTTTGTCTAACACTGACTGTGCAAACTGACTGGGGAAACTGACGGTGGAAAGTCTATTATTTGGTAAGTATTTGTTTTTTCTAGTAGTTTAGAATGTTCCCTGTTTCCAAGTAGGCCTAATGCCTTTTCATTATATCGACAAGAATATTTGAAACCACCGTGTTATATTTTGCTCCGTTTTTAGTTGGGTCTAAACAGCAAGCTAGCTAGCTTGCTAGATATGGTTAGCATTGAATACTGGATAGTAGAGATCATTAGATTATATTAAATTAGATGTCACGTTATTGTCATTGAACACAGTACACCGAAATTCAGTTTAAATTCAACCAAAAAATGCAAAGAGTAATTCAAGTGCACGAGGTAAAGCTAGCTAGCTGGATAACTGGTTTGTTAGCTAGCTTGCTAGATACGGTTAGCATTGAATACTGGATAATGGAGATCATTAGATTATATTACATTCGATTTAACGTTATTGTCATTGAACACAGTACACCGAAATTCAGTTTAAATTCAACCAAAAAATGCAAAGAGTAATTCAAGTGAATGAGACGCCTTGAGATTGTGGAGCAAAGGCCTTTGATAGGGGACTTCAAATGCAGATGGCCTGCTCTGTTTCAGCAGAGTGAAGTAAGTAAATATTTGTATTTGTTGACAGTCTTTTATTATTGTCTTTTGTGATTCATGTCTACATCCTTGCATGGTTGTGATTCTAATAAACAAGTAACAATTGGTTGTATTGTGCTTGTTAATAATATTTTTAAGGTGAATGCGGAGTTTTTGAGGATCACAACATCACCACTTCAATCAAAGTTCATGTGGCAGCTGGACCACTTCTCAGACAAGCTCTTGAAGATCTTCAAGACCAAAGGAGGAGTGAAGGGGCACAAAATCAAGGAAGCCCTTGCAATATCAGATTCGGTTAGTATAAATGCAGAGAACCTCGTTTTTCACTGTATTGTTTTTGTCCATGATCATATGAACACATTTAAGAAATTGTCTGCTTTTATAGTGTTTTTAAGGCAATAGCTTATTGTGGAAATGTAGGTGTAAGGAGTCCTGCTTAGGGACACACACGACAGATACAGCCCTCTACTTTGTAAACTACCTGCTCTGTTGCACATGCATTGTGCTTAATTGTCTTTGATTTATCGCCCCTGCTTTAGTTTGAAAACATCCACATCAAGAGGGGGTGCATCCTGCGAAGCATCGCGATCTACCTCAACGAGGATCCAGACTCTTTTTTTAAGGAGTATCAGGTATGTTTATCACAATATGTTTTCAATGTATTGGTTAACAGTGTTACCCACAATTATAACCACCATTACTTACATTTATAATAAGAAAATTATATGGCACACAACCCTATCCCTGCTTACATCTAAATATCTTATCACATATCATAAATACATGCAGAAATAAATAAATCTATACATTAATATAGGAATGAATATATGTAAGAATGAATAAATACAGAAATAAAAAAATAATAATAAATAGATACAGAAGTAATTTCATCGGGCAAGTGTTAAAATAAATATAGAAAAAAGTGAATTAATACATTTATACAGATATAAATACATCTATAAATTAACATAGGAATACAATTGATAAATACAAATGTGAATTAAAACATGAATATATCTGGAAATAAATACAAATAATAAATGAATGCTGAAATAAATATTTACATTTATATATAAATACATCTATAAATGAATAAATAAATATGGACATGAATACATATGTAAGAACTTATAAATAATTGAATAAATACATAAATAAAATAATAAATAAATGCTGAAATATATTAATCAATAGATTCATGTTTAAAAAGGTATGTGAATGCAGCAATTACTAAATTGTTAAAGGAATAATTACATAATCACATAACAAGGAAATAAATTATTAAAGAATAAATAATCAAATACATATCGAAATAAGTAGGTAAATGCATAATTAACTACAGGAATAACAACAAATTACATTATTAAGTAGGGACGTAAACAAATAATACCTGAATTAATAAATAAGATAACGTTGATAATCAAACAGAACATACAGGAATATATCTTTATAACTTATTTATGCAAACATTTTCTTACAAGCTTAATTTAGTTCTGTGTTGGAGGTCCTAACCTTCTCTGGTATCACTCGGACATTTTTGTCCAAATTGGTAATTTTTCACATCAGATTTGGCTATAATGATTTTGTGTTTTTTCTAGATACTTTTTGGAATTTCAATTTTTCTAATCGGTCTCGAATACACTGTGTACAAATTACCCTAATTGTCCATTTAAAAAATGTTCCCACACTTCCCAAAAAGTGTGGGGGAAAAATATTTAAATATAATATTTGTATCATATCATTTTATCATTCAAGTTTTTGAAAGTGGACATTTTTATCCTGAGTGGCCAGATTGGGTAGTACATTTGAGTGATACCAGAGGGTTAGTCTAAAACTGTTTTGATCAATGAGGAGAGCCACATAAGTAAATCTGCTTCTATAAAATGTAGTAATTCAGGTTTTAGTTAACACATGTGTTGTATGCTTGTGTCTTTGTTCAGGCCTCTGCCTCTGAAGATGCCAAGAGGGACATGGCAAACACAGTCATGGGCATATACACACTTCAAAGAGATGTGGATGGGCAGCCAGAGGACGTGGGAATTGTCATCGAAGGCAATATAGTCATGGACAACTTGGGCAGCGTGATTGTGGGGTTTGTCATGCTATTGGGACTTATTTATGCCCTGGATTTGAGCTTTCCGGACAACCTCAAACACACCTTCGAGTTCATGCAGAAGGTAGTGATGAATCTGGATGGGCACAAGCTGAATGGTAAAATCGAAAGTCTGAAGATCAAGTTGTTCGATTGAAATGTGAAAAAGAAGTGACTCATGAGTTCATTGTTGTCATTTTATTCACGAGTTTCCTAGTCAGAGCAGATTGAGCCGTTATATCAATCATTTGTTCTGTGCTTTTCTGTATTTGTTTCAACACACTGTAACACTATTTCCATATGTTGGTGTTTGCAGTGCACTCTTTATGTTATGTGTTATTGTCCTGTTAGAAGAGCAGTGCATACCCCTGTTATATTGTATTCATTGTATTTGGCAAAGGGAGATTTGTAAGTTAATTATAGGAGTTCCATTTCTCTGCCATTTTAAAAATGGTATTATCTTTCAGAAATGTTTTTCATCTTTCAGTGTGAATTCATTCATTTTTAAAACACTGTATTGAATGGAGGATTGTTTTGAATAATGTGAATTTAAAAATAAAAAAAACTAAACCATGTTTTCTATCATGTGTAACACATTTTTATTAAATTATATTTAACCTCATTATTTCATTTTCAATTAATTAAATAGGATTTAGGTGGACTAGCATTATTTAAATTCATAAAGGTAATGTTATCATTTTACTTAAACTCTATTTGAAAAATTTGAGTTGGACTAACTCATTTACATTATACTGCATGGATGCCATTAGTTTGAGTTTGTGCCACATATATTTATTGGATGGAAAACCTGCCAACAATAAAATTGAGTTAATCCAATGAGTTATTTCTTTGAGTGTATAACACAAGATAAAAACAGTGTTGATTTATGTGTTTTGTTCCAGTGTTGTAACAAAAAAAACAATATTCAAGTAAATTGAGAATAAATGCCATCATAAGTTAATTATTATAGTCAAAAGGTTGCAACCACATGTGGTACAACTTCTCAACAAGTCCAATATATTCACCTTTAAAGTATTCATATTTTTTTTAAACAAATGCCTCCTCTGACACTAGAATTGTTCCTGTTGCAGCACAATGTTTCAATCGCTGTCTGTGGTATTACATGGACTGACATTTCAATTGTGTTCCACTTGATCAGAGGATAAATTAATTTGACATTTGCTCGCCGTCAGGCCAGCCTCGTTGTGTCATTTTTCACAGGAAACGCGTTTGTTCTCCACCTTTTGAAGTGCAAAGATCAGAGCAATAAACCTTTCCTTATTTCCGACGACTATTCCTCTGAAACACTCAGATCAAACAGCTCCAAAGTTCACTTCTCTGCACAAAAGTCTACAACATTCAGTATTGTGCCACCAAACAAATGTTTAAAAAGTAAATTCAACCCTTGTTGGTACCTTCAGGCCTTAATATGCCCCGTTTTAAAAAATAAATATTAAACATTTTAAAGCATATATTTTAAAGAATAATGCAGTGCTTGAACATTAAAATAAAAAACAACATTGTGTGTGGACCAAATACATAAACACGGTCTCTGTGTTATGTGTAGTTTCTATTATTAAACAGACAAAAAGACATTCAGTCTCCTTCCTCAGTAAAATACTTGGTGGGACCCCTGTGGGGACATTTCCACTTAAGTGTTGAAGCGCAGCACAGAGACGCACACAGTCAGTTAATCCAACCCAGTGTCCTCTCTGAAATAGAAACAAGAATGGTGCTTTGCTTCCTTAACTTGCTCTTAAAATCTTAATGCCTTGTTTTGCTGCGTTTGTGTAACGAACAGCGACTCCGACTCCGGCTGCGACTCCCAAAGACGGAGTTCCAGGATGAACTGCGGCTGTAGCTCCTGTAAGAGGAGTAACTGTGTCTCCGGCTCCGGCTCCTGCTCCTGCTGAGGCTGAGTATCGGACTGCGGCTGCGGCTACGGGTGAAGAGGCTGCTCCAGGACGACACGCTGGTGGACCGACTGCTGGAAGAAGGACTGGGGCGGAAATAAGGGATGGGCCGCTTCCTGGCACTGCGGAGAGACATAAAGGTAAGTGGTGTGAAATGGACAGAAAGGATTTAAGCAACAATGTGTAGATTTGATCACAGATTAAAAGGGCATTGACCATTGTTTTCATGTAAATAACGTGTCAAATTAGCTTTACAGAGCAGCAACCTCCGGGTATAAAAATTAAGCCAACTGCAGTTCCTCAAATTACTTCAAAAGCGAGTCTGTAAATTGGTCCTAAACCTTTTACCAGATAGTTGCTGCATATAGAAAACTTTATTTTAGCTGAAATTCAAAACCTCCTTTACAAGCATGTCGTGTTAGTAAAACCAAAAAGTCAGATGGTAGATGCCAAAATGCTCTGTAGAGCTGAGGAACTGCAAAGTCAGGTGACAATTCTTCACTATGAGCCACTATTTTCACACCATTTGGCCTATAGGTAATATACAAAGCTGTTAACAGTAGGTATAGATTGGTGGAGAAATAACTGTATAAAATACTTTAGTTTAATCATCCTGTGTCGTGCTTTTGTGCATATTTCTGGGTTTATATCATTTGTTGCACTCATACAGGACTATGAAATTAAGTGTGTGGCAGATCTGTTAAAAATGAAGCAGTGATTATCACACTTGCTTGTTTTGTTTTTTTACTTCTCAGATTGCCTGTGTTCCACCATCTGCTGCTTTAGCACCTGCCGTGGCTTTAGAGCTGACACTTATCTCCTCCTCTGGCTAAATGCCATTTCAAGGTACACAGCTCATCAACACAATTAGAAATATTTCAGTTCAGAGAGGTGAGGGGGCGAAGGAGGGGACCTGCAGTAGATATTTGCTACCTTTAGGCATAGCAATGTATATTGTAGCTTTAAATAACCAGACTCGGAAAGCCTTACCTTGTGATCCGGCGTGCTTCCAGATGGCTCGGTGAGTCTCTTCTCCTCTTCTTCATAGGAGAGTAGGATTTGCGTCTTTGTCTCTTCCCACTAACCTTTTGTGCATGCTTCACATCTGCATCTCTGGAGCTATGAGTTCTCTTTCTTTCTCGTAATCTGGGAAGCAGACATGACAATGAGAAACATGGATAACCAACAATGTTTATGTTTATTTGTTCCTGTACACCCCAAATGAGGAGTCATTGGCAGCCGGGAGGTTTTGCAATGTTTACCTGTCAGCACTGTATCTGGAGTGGCTTCCTCTAGAGCTCAGGCTAGCCACGCTGCCTCGCCGCCTCAGATCAGCTGAATGACTCGAGTATGAGCTGGCAAAGAAAAAAGGACAATTATCTCCTGGTATTGAGCATAGATGCAGAAGTAACGATTCCATAATCTAATTTCCTTTACTCCTGGAATTCAGTATCAAACAATGTTATTTTGCTATTTACAAAAGGCTGTTTCCCAAAGTAAATCTATGGGATAAATCATGTTTAGGGTAAATGGTATCACATGATGACGGGGAAGTTGGAATTACACCGTTTGTTAAATTGGCTTTAAAGAATGGCACTGTTCCTGACGGATTGATAGCACACGCTCACAGTGACAATGCTAGTGTACTTTTAGTATGCTAACATAACATATTAGCACTTAACATAAAGCAACAGTTCTTGGTTTTGCAGGTAAAATAAAGTATTGGATGGATTGATTATTTTTTTAGATACCTTCATTGAATAGTGTTAGTGAGCGTGGGAAATGACATGCAGCAAGCAGTCAGGACAGGCAAATCATTTACCCTGGAACTCACTAGCTGCTCAGGACATGTGGTTAACCCCCTAACCTAAAGTTTTTTCAGTCATCCAGAGTGAATCTCCAACCCCAAATATGAACCTCATGCTTACAGGAAGTCACTGAACCACCAAAACCAAGAGTAAATGTCTGTGATGTATCTTTTGCCAATTAATCAGGTAGATGTTGTGACATTTTCAGGATAAGCAACAACTTTGACCTGCAGGTGGCACTCGGAAAATGGATCACCAAAGCCATGAGGTTTTGTTTTTTTGGCAACACAGACACCCGTACAACATTTCATGGCAATTCATTTTAACAGTTGTTGAGATATTTCAGCCTGGATCTACTGTGGTCTCCTACATTTTCACTTTTTGATGTGCTAATTGAAGTACATAAGAGTGGAAATGTACTTATTAACTTTGGAATTAGTGGATGATGGTCATTTACAACGAGTAGTTAACCCACCTGCATGATGACCGTGACAGGCTTCGGGAATAGCGTCCGGAATATCTGGAACTTCCTGAGGATCTGCTCCTACTCCTGCTGCTGGATAATCGGGCCTTCAGTCGCCTTCGAGACGACTTCCTCGCCCTTCGAGAGCAGTGGGAGGTCTTTGGAGATCTCACAACATCTACCCGGCACCCCAAGGTTATCTGCTCTCTGCGAAGAAAACAAGTTTCACTACTTTAAAAGACAAAAACCAAAACGGTATCTTGGGTTGTTTTTAATAAAAGCTCTTCCTTTTTCTGACTCGAGATATGAATATTTTCAAAATAGGGAAACAGAGTGTGAAGATCAACAACCTGCAGTTTTTCTGGTAAGTATGAATTCAGATGCCATATTTATTAAGAACTTTACCTCTTGCCGTTTCCACTGAAAAGCGTTGCAGACAAGCTGTCCTCTCTGTAAGGTTTGCACAGGGAAGCGTAGCTTGTCACAGAGTTTCCTGAATCAGAGGCATTGTCTCTGTCAGTGAACTTCAGCTTCTCTGGCGAGGCCAGGCGTTTGCAGTGGTTCCTCTTGTTGTCAGTGACAATCGCCTGAAAAACACCAGTTTTGCTTGACGGAGGCGAAGACGTGTCATTCCCAGAATCGTAATCGTGTGGAACTTTGGTCTGGCCCGATAAATGCTGAGACTCTTTTCCGTGTAAAAGCTCGTTTCCAGGTTTTGGTGACAAAATCTGTAAACAGACAAATAAGCTGCAGTTTAAAACCAAACGAGTTGATGAATGGAACCTGCTATCTGCTTTGATGCACTGTGAATACTCTACTACAAAGGCACATATTCCCCTTGAAAACAAAGAGAAGGGATTTTTTTTTCCTCAGGACAGAACATTTTAAAAGATAAAGACATCATGCAAATTTGAAGCATGCGATTAACCCCAAAAGAAAGTCTGAAATGAACTATAAACAAATAAATCAAAAAGAAACTAATTGAGATAAAGTAAGTCTAATCTAAAACAATTATATGAAAGGAACAACAAAAGAGCAGAGAAGAGAGAGAAACTATGCGTGGAAAGATCTACCGGTTCTAACTCGAGTGAAGAGAAAAAGAGTAAACAATAGCCCCCTTGAAAAGCCTCATTTAAGAACATTGAACAAACATCACAAAATGGGTATTATGTATAAATGAAAAGGATTTGCAGACAAAGAGAGATCCCATCATTCTAACTAAGAAAGCCCTCAGAATGGGACAGATGACTGTGCTCTTTCTCCTGTAAGAAGTAAATCATTTGCCTGCAGCGACCTACAAGTAAATCCCTAAATCTGTGGATAGCATCGACTTACCAATCAAGATTTCCTCCTTAAGTAGGTAAGGTGTAAGAAAAAGGGAAGAGCGGGCAACATAAGTGCATCATTAGAGTCGTCAATTGCAAGAAAAAGACAATAACCCTCTCTTCAAACCCAGAGCCAGTTAGACCTATATTGGTATATTCATCTTTCTCTCCTTAATGGTGCATTGTTATGGAGTTTTTCTGAGAGCGTACTTTTAAAGTACAACTGCACAAAGCAGCTGTTGAAGTTTTTTACTGCAGACGTCCATGCACGGGAAAAATATAGTGTCTCTCCAAGGATCATATAGCTGACTAATAAAATGATGATCTCTGTTTATTTATTGATAAGGAGTCACTCTTTCTTTATCTAGTCTGTCCTCCCGAAGGTGTTCCATTATCTAGTCTAAAGTCAATACAACAGAGGAACCCCTGAGGGAAATAAACACATGACATGTTCCTCTACAATCCTGTCTACCACTCGCATCGTTCTCGCTCACAGAAAGACATTTTTTAAACAGAGACATCTTTTACCGTCACCTGGAGATATTTGGATAAGTTGCCTTCAAATAAACATTTCAAATGGTTCTTGTGAGCTTTCAATTTTGTTTTTGTCTTTTTTATTCTCCCACCACAAAATCATTTCATTAGTTACATTTACAGGGTTAAAGGGTTTTCTGGGGGTTATTCTGTCTGGTCATACCTACCTGTCCCTTTCTGGATTGCTTTTTTGGGGAAAGAAATATTAAACAAAGATCATTCGGCATTGCTTTTGAAATTACATTTACCAAACCAAACCCCCAAAACAAATGCAAATACCACAGAGTTATTGCAATACAGTAAGGCGTCCCCTCAGCAACCAACTGTGAATTCCTCCTAAAAGACTTTGGGATATTGAATGCCAGGCATGATTCAATGTATGGATTCATTTATTGTATTTCAATGAAAACCCTGTGGTGTGTAATTCAAAACATTATGTGCAATTAGCATAATGTAATGATTGCTGGTGAGAAATTAAATATATTTCACACTCCGTAAGCACGGGACAATGAGTTGAAGGTCAAAGCTGTACAGCCTTGATAAGGCTCTATGGGAGAACATCACTTAAAAGAAAAAAAGATAATCAACCTGCAATAAACAGCATATCTGGACAATTCTGTCATCTAAACGCTGTGATTCACAGTTGAGTCGTGGATATATATATATATATATATATATATATATATATATAAAAAACATATTTTGATGTATGTACAGTAAATCCTCAGTCCAGAAAGAAAGCTAGTATGCAAGTATTTAGACATCAAACACAAAATACTGTCCGTCTAAACCAGAAGTGTTTACTGGTAATTAGATACAAAAAAAAGAAAGAAGTAAATAACAATTTTTTACCTGATTTTTGTTGTTGCTTATTTTGGTCAAAAGTGGCAAGAAAATACTAATAATTGAAAAAATCAAGTGATCATTCTGTTACTTATTTTCCTGCTTCAGCCCAGTCTCCCTTACAATTATTCTGACATGAATTAAGTAGGTACAATTGAATCCAATGCCAGCAATGTGTGTGTGTGTGTGTGTGTGTGTGTGTGTGTGTGTGTGTGTGTGTGTGTGTGTGTGTTCTATTTCATCCTTACTGACCGCCAGAGGCGGTGCTTTAGCACTGGATATCTTCTGTCTCGCGCATGCGCAGGTCGAATATGTATATCAACAAAGTCACGTGTGACCTCGTATGACCCCGGAAGGCATAAGTTCCGGTGCCGTCAACGAGTTCAGTCCTTTTTCATCTTCTCGCAGCGCAGGTTACTACTTTATGAGTAAAAGCCAAGCTAGCTTACTGAACAATTAAGATCCTAGATCTGTAGCCTTGTGATCGTCTAGATCGGAGCTGCGGGCTAGAAAGTAGTGATGGCAAGATGAAGCCTTAGGAAGCTTTGAAGCTTTCCAGCCAATTGGTTCGCAAAAGGGTTCATCTCATGAGGCTTCATCATGGGCTTCATTTGAACATAAACCCCCTGTTGGTCAAAGTGTGTATAACAGGCAGATTGGACATCTCAACAGTGTGCTCTTTCTCATACCGAGTTCCCAATGAGTAACGCCTTAGAATAACTCTAAACAACCAACATTAATATTATCATATCATATTTTCATGTTAACAATATTGTTTTTATTCCAGTTGAATGATTGTGATTGAAAAGCCTAAGGAATACAACCAAAGAATACATTTATTAACTACATTATCTCATTTCGCTGTAGCTTTTATAAACAACAAAAAATACGTATTGTTCAGTCGTTGAACCAGGGACCCTGCGGTCATGAGTCAACTGCTTTCCAGCTGAGCCACAGCACACACACTGAATCTCCCTGACAACACTGGACCATATTTATTCATGTTTTTATTCCTACATTTATTTATGCTTGTATCTATTTATACTTATGACATGTTCTGACCTCTATATAGGTGAGGGTCTGAGCTCTCTTAATTCCATCGTGTCACCGGGCCCGGGTACAGGAGGGGTAATATGGTTCTTATTATACATCCATGGCATGGGGAATATGAGCGCTGTGGTTCAACCGGGTTCAACCGATCTGAATCGCTTCGTGAAGCAGTCACGTGGTATCGACAGGCAGCGAGGCTTCGTTTGTCATCGATGACGTCACTGGCCCAAAACGATACAAGCTTCACAAAAAGCTTCGGGGATTACTCGACACACGCTCCGAAGCCTCGGCGCAATACGTAACATCACTACTAGAAAGACGCTCGCCCTCCAAAGGCTGCGACGAGCTAGCTGTCCGCCCTCCCAAGGGAGGGGACCGCGGTGTTCACCGCTCGGATCCTAGGAGCTCCGGATCGGTAAAGAGCGGACGCTCCTGCACGTCAGCCGGTGAGATCGCTACCGTTTATTGCTGATTGTGCTATATATTCTCAAACTAATGAGATAATTGTGTACAAATTAGCCGAGGGCTCTCGCTAATTTGTTACTGCATTAGTGAAGAGAGCGTCTCCGCCCTCCTCTCACTACATACATTTGGTTCCTTACCTGATTCTATTGTCCAGTTAGCTGAGTGCTCCCGTTCAAGCTAGCTGTTACTGCACTAGTGAAGAGAGCGTCTCCGCCCTCCTCTCACTACATACATTTGGTTCCTTACCTGTTATATCGTCCAGTTAGTTGAGTGCTCCCGTTCAAGCTAACTGTTACGGCGCTAGTGAAAAGAGTGTCTTCGCCCCTCTCACGGCGCACAATTGTTTTCTGTTCCATCCTCCAGTTAGCTGAGTGCTCTCGCTCAAAGCTAACTCGCTACAGCGCTAGTGAAGAGAGTGTTTTCGCTCCCCTCTCCCTGCACACAGTTGGTTTCTGTTCCATCCTCCAGTTAGCTGAGTGCTCTCGCTCAAGGCTAACTTGCTACAGCGCTAGTGAAGAGAGTGCTTCCGCTCCCCTCTCACTACACACAGTTGGTTTAATACCCGTTCCATCTCCAGTTAGCAGAGTGCTTTCGCTCAGGCTAACTCGCTACGGTGCTAGTGGAGAGAGTATTCCCGCTCTCCTCCCACAGCATATATACCACTAACTGACCACTAATTTGTTCGCACCCCAGTTAGCAGAGTGCGCAGTTGGCGCTATGTTTAATGGCTGTAACACCTGTATGGCCTCTCTGCAACCAGAGGATGGCCATGACCTTTGCCCCTCTTGTCTTGGCCTCGAGCATCTGAGGGAGGGCCTTTCGGAGGACTCGTGCATGAATTGCACCATCATGCCTCGTGCGGTAAGAGCTGCTAGACTACCCGGGGTTGAACTACTGACTGAGGGTGGCCTTCCCCCTGCACAGTCGACTACATCCCAACCTACCCGTCCTAGGCGTCGGGCAGCAGAGGCTGCGGGTGCCCCGCCCAAGAAAAGGACTAAGCCTGATAGGCTGTCCTCTAGGGTGGACCTACTCACTACTGAGCTTGCCCAGATGAAGTCACTCCTCTTGGCTCTCCATTCTGGTGTCCGTACAGAGCACGCCGCTGCACCCAGTCCACCCATGGCTGAACTGATTCCAGATGACGATGTGCTCTCGATGGCAGCTTGGCGCCTGCCAGTGCGTTCTTCAGGCGCACTTTGGCACCCGCCACCCTTGCAGTTCCTCCCTCTTGTGAGTATCTGAGGGAGTTACATGCATGCTGGAGGGACACTAAGACTCTTTCCGGTCTTACGTCTGATGGCCGAGCCCTAGCAACCATGCAAGATGCGGCAAAGGTCGGTCTTGACTACATGCCGGCTGTGGAGCCTACCATTGCTTCCCTCATAGTTTCCCCTGACGAAGCTCTGAGGTCGGAGGCCAGGTGCCCTCGACCCCAATGTCGGGTCACTGATGACCTGCTCACTAAAGCTTACGATGCAGCGGGCCGTATAGGCAATTCCCTCTCTCACCTCATGCTCGCCCTCTCGGCTTCCCTGCAGCAGGAGGCTCTTAGCGCTTCTGCTACCAGCCTCAGTGACGCCTCATTACAGGCGTTTGCTCTGATGTCAAGAGAGCTTGGGCGCCTGATGTCCACTCTCGTCCAGACTCGTCGCCAGGTTTGGCTGGCACAGTCACCCTTATCAGAGGCATGTAGGAGGACTCTCCTTGCTGTCCCAGTGGAGCCCGGGGAACTGTTCGGTTCAGCTGCCGTACAGGTGCTCGAACGGACTGTCCAAGCTAGTCAGACCAGGCAACAGTTCTCAGCTCTTCGCAGAGACATGCCCCCCCCCGGTAGGCCGAGAGGCTCCGCATCTGCCTCCCGAGGCCGCTCCCGTCCACCGGCTCACCCCAGTGCCCGCCAGGGACCTCAGTATCCCACGAGGGGGCCGGCCCGCTACGGTCCTGTTAACTCGCCCCCAAGGCAGTCTCGGTATCCGGTGCCTAACCGTCCCCCCCCAGAGGCCGGGGGGCAAGGTACTGAGGGTCTGGGGCCGGCTGTCGGTTATTTCTCCCAGCAGCAGCTCAACTACTGGGTAGCTCAAGCTTCAGACCCCTGGGTGGTTTCCACCTTAACCCAAGGGTACAAGCTTCAGTTCCGACGCCGGCCCCCAGCCAGGTCAAAATGACCACCATAAACGACCCGGCAAAAGAAATCGCCCTAAATCAGGAGCTGTCAGTCCTCCTTGCCAAGGGTGCAATCGAGCCTGTGGACCCCATCTCAAAGCCCGGGGGCTTCTACTCGACCTACTTCCTGGTAAGGAAGAAAGGCGGTGGACTTCGCCCAATCCTCGATCTGAGGGGACTCAACAAGTTCCTAAAGTACTTGCCTTTCCATATGCTGAGCACAGCGGACGTTCTTCGTACCGTAGCCAGGGGGGAATGGTTCACGTCCATCGATTTAAAGGACGCTTATTTTCATGTGCCTATTGTACCTCATCACAGGCAGTTTCTTCGCTTTGCCTTCAGAGGCCGTCATTTCCAGTTCAGGGTGCTCCCATTCGGACTCTCCCTCTCCCCAAGGGTGTTCACCAGGTGTGTCGCGGCAGCCCTCTCACCCCTGCAGTCTCAGGGTATGAAGATTCTGCCATACTTAGACGACTGGCTAATCTGTGCACCATCCCGGTTGCAGTCGACCCAGGACACGGCTCTCCTTCTCTCTCATGTCGCCCGGCTAGGCCTCAAGGTGAACATGGAGAAGAGTTGTCTGAACCCCTCTCAGAGCCTAACCTTCATTGGGGTGGCTCTGGACACAGTCACTATGCGGGCCTGTCCATCTGCTCAGCGCCTGGAAGACATCCTCCAGCTTCTTCCCCTCTTCAAAAGGGGCAGGTCTCTGGCATTTATCCTGTTTCTCCGCCTCTTGGGCATGCTGACAGCTGCCTCAACTGTCATTCCCTTGGGCTTGTTGTCACTGCGCCCCCTGCAGAGATGGCTGAACGGCCTCCACCTAGACCCCAAGTTGCACAGGCACAGAAAAATCAGGGTGTCACAACAGTGCCTCTCCACTCTATCCCCATGGAGGGAGAGGTCATATATGTCGAGGGGCGTGGCCATGGGCTCCGTGGCAAAACAGGACAGTGGGCAGTGGTCTACTCTGGACGGCACGGAACACATCAATGTGCTAGAGCTACGAGCTACGAGCTGTGCACCTAGCACTCAGGCACTTCCTGCCATACCTAAGGGGGAGGCATGTGCTTGTCCGCTCGGACAACACTACAACGGTGTATCATATACAAGATCTGGGGTCTCTTCGGCAGGGCAGAGGTAGATCTCTTTGCCTCGAAGATGTCGACCCACTGCCTCCTGTGGTTCTCCTTGAGGGAGAAAACCAGCCCTTTGGGTCAGGACGCCCTGGCTCATTCATGGCCAGGGTGTCTTCTCTATGCCTATCCACCCCTCCCTCTGATCCTACCAACACTCCTCAGAGTGCTTCATCAGGGCCACAGGCTTCTTCTGGTGGCCCCCTTCTGGCCAGCCAGGACTTGGTTCTCCCTGCTGCACAGACTCTGTTGCGGGACACCTTGGCGTCTCCCCAACAGGAAGGACCTCTTGTCTCAGCTGGAGGGTCAAATATGGCACCCCGACCCCTGCCGCCTCCAGCTGTGGGTCTGGCCACTGGAGGGCCCGACCCACTGCTGAGCGACTGCATAGAGCCTGTCAGGAGGACTATTCTCAATGCGAGGGCACCATCTACTCGTAGACCGTACGAAAACAGGTGGAAACTGTTCTCTGACTGGTGCCAAGGGCGAAATGAGGACCCAGTACATTGCTCGGTGCCTACTACCCTTGAGTTCCTACAGTCCCTCCTGGATGACGGCCGGTGTCCCGCTACCGTCAGGGTGTATGTGGCTGCTATATCAGCCCAACATGCAAGGGTTGACAACAGCACAGTAGGGAGCCATAGGCTGGTATCCCTCTTTTTAAGGGGAGCACTGAGACTTCGCCCCCCGAACATCCCAAGGGCCCCTACATGGGATCTGCCCTTGGTGCTGGATGCCCTATGCTCGCCTCCCTTTGAACCCTTGTTAGAGGCAGATCTGAGGTGGCTCTCAGCCAAGACTGCTTTCCTTCTTTCCATCACCTCAGCAAAGCGTGTAAGCGAGCTTCAGGCCTTGTCCGTGAACAGCTCGTGTCTGAGGTGGAACTCAGATGGCTCAGGTGTCACCTTATGGCCGAACACAGCGTTCCTCCCTAAGGTGCTGGCACGCTCTCACTTTAATCGGCCTATCCAGCTGGCACGGTTTGACCCCCCATCAGGAGAGGGGGAAGAGAGGTCAAGACTCCTATGCCCGGTGCGGGCCCTTAGAGCTTATGTCCAGACTACCGCAGGCATGCGTCAGTCTGACCAGCTCTTTTTGTGTTACGGTGGTCCTAGAAGGGGCCGTGCGCTCTCAAAACAGCGCTTGTCCCACTGGATCGTGGATGTCATTGCCCAGGCATACAGGGCGAATGACCATCCCTTGCCACCCAGAGTAAAGTGCCACTCTACCAGGAGTGTCTCCACGTCATGGGCAACCTTGAGAGGTGTGCCCCTGGAGGACATATGTGCTGCGGCCACATGGGCATCTCCGAGCACATTGGCCAGATACTACAGGGTGAATGTTGCCGCCCCTCACCCGCTGGGTGTGGTCCTCCTGCAGAGTCCGCCTAGGCCATCCTTATAGGGTGAGTATTCAGACTTCCTCGTGACTCTGTTGGTATAGGTCATCCAGTGCTAAAGCACCGCCTCTGGCGGTCAGTAAGGATGAAATAGAACGATAGTTACGTATGTAACTACGGTTCTATGAATACTGGATGACCGCCAGAGTTCTTGGTCACTCGGAATTTCGTGTTTCTGCGAGAAGATTCAATAGGAATGAACTCGTTGACGGCACCGGAACTTATGCCTTCCGGGGTCATACGAGGTCACACGTGACTTTGTTGATATAAATATTCGACCTGCGCATGCGCGAGACAGAAGATATCCAGTGCTAAAGCACCGCCTCTGGCGGTCATCCAGTATTCATAGAACCGTAGTTACATACGTAACTATCGTTTGTGTGTGTGAGTGTGTGTGGAGGAAGCAGAAGTGACTAATCCCAGTATGTTGAGCTTTCGATGACCCAAGACAATACACATGTGCTTCCTTTCTCCTTCTAGCATGAAAACAGTTTTTTTAAATCTAATTTGTGTTCCTTATACACAACAAATGCTTCACTTCCTGTGCAGCTATACTCAATTTAGCTGTGTTCCAAGCAGTACCCCGCACATCTAACTACAGACACATCTTAATATAAAGTACTGGCTTTTTTACATCCAGTATACTGTACGTCAACTCAAAATCTATATTAGCAAGTCAACAGTTAAAGCTGACACACAGTATTATGCTCACCTTGACCAAGGATGCAACACAGTCCTAAAACAATTATTGAAAAATATTGGCACTGAATATTCTTTGACATCACTGAACACATTTTTCTAAATGAAATTCATAGTAATAGCTCCGAAAATTGAATATTTTTTTCTTGGTGTTGGTTTTCATTTGAATCCAGAACTTTATTTATAAAAGGGAAAATAAGAATTAAAAAACACTGTACTCACATTGCCTCAATACAAAGAATGTGTCCTTTTCCCAGCAGTATCATTATAGTTATGGAGAGGTCTATATTAGGTTTTAGAAACAAGAACTGACAAAATAACTGTACAAATAAAGAATTCATAAAAGATCAGTCAGGCCATGAATATTTTTTGGGAATATTGATCCTTTAAAGGTGGGGTAGGTAAGTTTGAGAAACCGGCTCGAGATACACTTTTTGTTATATTCCATGGAATGCTCTTAACATCCCGATAGCAATGAATATCTTAAGAGCTTTGACAAAAAATCCATAAAAAAATGTAATCTGTGGAAGCCGTGGTACTGTAAAAAGCACGACCAATCATCTGAGCCGGTCCGGCTAAAATAACTGGATGGCCTACCTGCCTGTCAGCCTTCTATCTGTGCACAAACTTATCTCGTGCCCTCATTGGTCATGTGCGCGTTCGTGTGTGTTGGAGGAGGGGCTCTGTAAGGAAGTAGCAGATTTTTTCCGGCTGTGTATTTTCAAATTCTAGCTGGTTTCTCCAAAATTACCTACCCCACCTTTAAAGCAGCTGAGTTTCAAAATATAATTTCTTCTTTTAAATGAGGATTTTCCAAACCCAACTGCCTCTCTGTAGGCATTTCATTTTGACTGAGAATGAGCTGTTTCACATGGCCATACTGTAACTGAGAAATGGAATTGACCCAGCAGCGTTAGAGGCCTGAAGTGTACTTACGGTGGCGGTGGACAGGATGGAGCGATATTTTGGAGCCGTTTTACACACTGATTTGGTGGCGGGTCTCCACTTCAGGTCGGTATGGTCAAGCATTCCGTTGTTTTCCTCTACTACAGCTGCCAGGTCTCCTAATGTGTGATGAACAACAGATCTCTGCAGGTGGTGTCTGTGGGAAAATGCTTAGTTTAAGTCACATAGCATCGTGACATTAATGCTTCAAATCACTTACAGCTAATTCTGCACTCAAGAGAATGTCTTCTCAAGCCTTTTTCTACCTAGGAAAATAGCTGAAATTATTTTTTATTTTCTTTATAATAATGTATTTTAAAGCCAAATCATTATTTCTCTAAACCCAATAAAATCATAATAATAATAATTGTGTAATAAAAAGCTATAAACATATTTAATATAATTAAATGTAATTGTTCTTTTGAACAGATTAACAGGTCAAAGTTCACTTATTGAAGTGTTCATAAAGATGGCGCTAAGTGGCGCTCTGATGCTAAGTGCAATGTTCTGCATTCAGTGTTGATCAATGATTATTTAAAAAGCAATTATCACCAGGGTCAACTTCTTCCTCTAGCTCTAGAGATCCTTACGTGTCCACCCTTTTCAGTAAAATCCATAAAAACTGAAAAACAACATCCTTCATCTTTCAAGATTTTTGCAATATGTCATTATAATGGAGTGCATTGATCTGTGGAGGGAATATGGGGCCACTTCCTGTGAAGCTGTGATAAGGGCCGGTCGTGCCTGAGATCAGGAAGTCACCTCTGCCTTATCAGTCATCGCTCTGGTGTGACCAGGAAACCGGCAGACACCCGGAGCTGATAAGATAAACTGAGGGAGTAAAGGGGGGTGAGGAGGGGGAGGGGGAGGGACAGCTTCCTACCTGTCCTCTGCGGACGATCGGTAAGAAGAACTGTCCGACTCTGACCTCCGATAGCGTCGCCTCCGCCGAGTCCGTGAACTGATGAGGAGAGAAGACACCAGTGGATAAGGAGCTCAGAGTACTACAAGCAATCAATCAATTTGTTGGAAGTACTTGACTACTTTTATAATCAGCTTATCAGTTTATTTCATTTACCAAGTATTGACTCCTTCTTCTATTTGTTCTATACTGTACCAATGGAAATGGCTTACATTTGCATCTTTGTACATATTGCACATACTGTATATACCCTTTATGTTGTGTAATAAAGGAAGACGTGCTCCGCTATGTCTTCAGCCTCCACCTTTTACCTTCTTATACCATCATGATATACTAAATTAAGTGCTGAGAACAGGGAACAAAACATCGCTATCACAAAGTGAGACATTTAAATAAACACAAGCAGTCAAACGATCAGCCTATCAATGAACAACAGTTAGTTATCTAAACCAATGGATTAACCTTTTTCAAGTCAGGCACTTCAATTCAGGTATATTGGATCAAAAGCCTGTTTATTTAAAAATGTTTCAGGGACCGTCATCTGAAAAGAGTTTGGTTATTGGATCATAAAAAGCACTGGATTCTATGGTTCTTTACTTACGTTGAGGAAATAAGTTCAACAAGTGAAACCTATGTTAAAATAGTCACTGTTATGGGTATTAGTTACATACTGTAAGGCTCAATTCTATAGTGAATTGATTAGTATAACATACCCTTTCTCTAGGGACCATTGGAACTATCTGAATGCCCTCTTGGGGTCCACTGACATTGTAGAAAACTCTGAAATAAACCACTTAAAACTCAAAGATCTGTAATAATGGCTGCACAGGTGGCTGTGTGTTTGTGTGCAACTGCACAAAGTCGGCAGGTCAATGAAGAACAAGGAAAATAGTCCATTAACTATTTAGGACATTTACACCTGACAATTCTACTGCTAGGACCGTGTTGGCCTAGGGTTAGAGGCTCCATCAACATACCCCAGCCTGATATCTGGCCCAGGAACTTTGATTTGTGATATTCTCCATCTTAGTCTCCCCGCATTTCTTGCAAGTAACATTAAATTACATTGTAGATCCTGTTTGAAAACATATGTGTAACCCTAACCCTCCCCATTGGGCATCTTTTTCTTGGCATTAGCGCTGCTTTACCAAATGTCAGCAACTAACTTACTGACTTTCTTTAAAAGTAATTCAAATAGGTCAGGGGTTGTGCACTGCTTACTGATGTTTTGCCCCCCCGTTGATAAAACAATCAACCAATCAGATCACAGCAAGAAGGGTTAGGAATGTGGATGGCATCTTGCTCACTGGCTATACCCTGTAGCATACGTAAAATGACTGGCATATGCAAAATGTTTGAATCTTGTTTTTTGTGATGCATATGAGCAGGAAAAATAGGAGAGCACATCAGAGAAAGTGAAAGTATAAAGAAACAGCGAAGGCATGAAGAGCATAAAAGAGGCGAGAGTTGAAGTGAGCTGGAAAAGAAATGGATTCTGTTGAAGTAAGAAGCAACTGAACTTGGCTCTGTGCTTACAAACAACGGCGCGCTCATTCAAAGTCGAATTATAAGATTTTGCAAGATCACAGTATGAAATTGGTTTCTCTTACCCTCTTCCACCCCTTTTTTAACTCCCTTTGTGGCTCAAGCATTCAATCGCTTTTTCCTCTTCTACGAGGGCTTTTTCAAGCTTTGCTCAGAGAAATAAACGCCTGCGAGTTTGTGTATTCACCCTTCGTGTCCCTACATGTGAGGATGCTTTCTATTTCTTCCTCAGCAATGGCTGTTCTGAAAAGGTTGGATAGGCGGTCAGTGTATGTTTTGGTCATTAGATTTTCTTTTCACAAATGGATATTCAAAAACAAAAAACGACTGGATATTTGATTTTCGTTTTAAAATTGAAAAACCAAAATTGAAATAAAAGGCGTTTTTCTTTATCATGGTCAAAAATGGATTTACTAAACTTAAAAAACGGGATGATTTTCATTTTCTACTTCTCAAAACTAAAAATTAAATCAATAGAAAACAGAAACAAAAAAACTACCGGTTTTTCATATTTTGCTACCGGAAGTTACCTTACAAAATAAGAATGCAGATGAGGACGGTCAATCCGTGTATCTACGGTCCATTTGTTTTCACAACAAAAAAAGGCAAGACACATATTGAGCCCAGAAAATGGATGTTATTAAGGGCTGTAAAATATAACAGGCCTATGTCTAAAATGGACAACATTGTTAGGAGATTTAAACTATAGGCCTCCAGCGATTCTTCACTGCGGTAAACTCAGCTGTCACTAGGGTGACCAGATGTCCCGCTTTGTGCGGTACTGCACAGCATTTTCACGACTTTTGGTGCGTCCCGCAAATTGAGACGATGTCCCGCATATTTCATTTTGATTGGCTAAAACGCTTTTCTAAAATCTGATTTATGACATGAATCAGATGCGGAGAAAGGCCGGCTCGGTTCGCTGACGGCCGGTGTTGTGTCAAATGATGCACCCCCGTTGTGAAATGCACCCCCTGGCCTGCCGTAAAAAGCACCCGCCCAAAGAATATGCTTCTATTAATCCTTCTATTACGTTTCATGTATGTGACACATTTATTGTCAGAGATAGCAAGGGGTGCATATCGTGGCAACCAGGCTGTTCATAAAAAGCACCCCCCTAAATACAAATGTTTCTATTAATCACCCTCAAGCACTTGATGTAAACATAAACAATACATTGTAAAGCACAAGTACAAGCACAAGTATACAGACAGGACGTCACAATTAAATAAAAACATATTAAATAAAAAATGTACTGAAAAATAAATGACAAATTAATGCAAAATCCAGGATTCAACAACCCAACCATCAAAAAGACAACATAGAATAGCGGACTACACATTAAAATGCGCATTCCCTTGTCAAGGGGTGCATTTCACGACGGGGGTGCATAATTTGACACAACACCGGCACCGCCCTTTATCATTATATGTTTTAAACGGCATCATGTAAGTTGCGCTGACAGGCAACAGAGGTCCACAGTGTGCCACCCCCCGCTGACAGTTCACGAGCGTCCACTCCATAGTGTCTCTCCATCCCCCGTTGACAGTTCACGCGTCGACATTGCATTTACATGTCCCACATTGTCCCACACAAACATACTCGAGCAGAAGTGGCTTGATTTTGTTCTCAGCAGGGGACTTTGACAGAGGATTTCTCATAAAGTACAGCGTACAATTACTTCAATATATTGTTAGTAGTAGGCTAACTAATACAAAGTCAAACAGTATCAATATCATTTCGAACTAATGGTAAAATTGTCTTTTTATAACTCATCAAAGATAGCAGATAAACATGCATTATGTAGGCTACTATGGAGGGGACTTTGACAGAGGATTACTCAAAAAGTACACAGTAAAAGTACTTAATTTCATTTCTGGTTCTGGTTAACTAGTACCGAGTGTCAGTCTTATTAAGAACTTGTAGTAAAAAACTCTAGAGTATGTTTGTGCCACAAATGGGACAGTCAGAGCTCTGTCCCACTTGTGGCTTTTCTGGCACCTGGTCACCTCAGCCGTCTCGAGTTTGTTTTATCAAATCAGCTGCTCTTCATTTTTGTGTGATACACATATTTTTTACCACAAGTTCTTAATAAAACTGACTGGTACTAGTTTGTCTGCTACCAGAAATGAAATTAAGTAGGCTACTTTTACTGTGTACTTTTTGAGTAATCCTCTGTCAAAGTCCCCTCCATAGTACATAATGCATGTTTATCTGCTATCTTTGATGAGTGATAAAAAAGACAATTTTACCAATAGTTCTTAATGAAATTGATACTGCTGGACTGAGTAGTCTATGGCGCATTTCCACTACAGCGCGGAGCTCGCTTTAAGCGTGCCATGCCCGGACCGTATTTGGTTGCGTTTCCACTTGGCGTAGTTCCGGCTAGCGGGTACTATTTCACAGTTTTTCTGGCCCCATAAAATCGAGGTTCTTTCCGGGCCAACAACCCAACCCAGTCTCACGGCATTTCATGTTATAGTCACGACATTTAATCTATTGATTCGTGTTCACTAACACGATTTTCCCCTTTTTTTTCGTGTCACACAGAACGATTTTAAAAGCAATGGATTTCTATTGGTAGTATGTTTCGTGCCTGCAGCACGTCTTTTTGTCTGTTCGGGTTGGAAGACCGGAAGCTGTGGGGTTCATAAAAACATGTTCTTACCAAGCGGCAAACTCTGGGGAACAGCCGGGAAGCCAATACGGAAGTGCCACACACTGCAGTTCATACATGGGCCGCTAGGGACTGGCTGCAGAAAGGAGCAATTTCCATAGACCCCCATGTTAAAATGCCCAACTTTACAGCAGAAAAAAACATGTTTCTACCCATGGATGCAATAAATATTATTATCGATATAGTTAGATTCCACCTTCATGATTATGAATCTGTGAGTGAATTGTTTTCTAACACGACCCTTTTATTTATATTAGGTCTTAATGTTTTTGCATAAATTAGGGCGTGGTCACGTTGATGGACACGTACATGCCTCACTGTCAGCTAACAGCAACTTGTCCACTCTGCTAGGCTACAACCATAGAGGCTACAACGTTAGTTAGTCATAGTACTGTACTTGACCCTTTAGCTTTAGCCGTGTTCGTGGTGATTGTGCCTTTTAGGGAATATTGTTACAAATACCAGACAATTAAAATGTCGTGCTGTGTGCTTGAATGTACTAACAGAACTTCCAAGAAGTCTAAAATGATAATATTATACATGTTAACCCCGTTCGCAGGTGTTTGTGTGCTTGGTAGCTTAGCTTGTTACTTATTAGCCAGCTAAGGACGTAACCCTTTATGCATACATATACATTTTAGTTTATGATTCAGCCTTGGGTAAGACTTTTATAGTCTATGGCTATGACGCCCATAATGCTAAACGGGAGCAAATGTTAATAGGGGACCCAATTATCCCAGTGGTGTCCGCCGGAGCTAACGGAGCCGCAGGGGGCTAGCTCCAGCCGGCGTTCCGGAGCTAGCCCACTGCGGCTCCATTAGGTCCGGGCGGAGGAGTCCGTCTTTTCTCAACGTGTGACAAGCATTAAGAATAACAAAATATAGCTAATTCTCTTGCAGATTGTCTCATTTGATTATTAATGTAACGTTTATATAGGGGAATGACACTGTTAGCAGTAACTTGGTATGCATGTATTTCATGTTAGCTTAGCTTCTTAGCCTGAGCTAGCTCTGTTTACTTCCAGTTCGGAGGCAGCAGGTCCCGCCTCGGCTCCGCCTCTTTGCCCTTATTTGGAGCAGGCGGGATTAGACTCTGACGTCACAGTCGAGCCGTTAGTGGCCGACTCCGCCTACTAAGGGCTTCACGGCAACTCTTCAGAATCCTATGGGTGACGTCACGGACACTACGTCCATTTATATATACAGTCTATGGTTCTTACTCAATATCAAGCCACGATTATTGTTTTTATTTTAAATCGTATAATGTCGGACTTTTTTTGTAGTCTGTGAGGAAAAGAAATGGGGCTCAGAGCCTTAGAATACTGAAATCTGTATTTTTAAAATATTTTTTTCCTTCTAATTTGTTATTCTTTTCTAAATAACACACTGTTATTTACTCACTAATAACACACAATTATACTTGTTTTTATTTATTTGTTTAATTCCATAATCTCTGGCTTTTTTGGCGTCCGTCAGGACTGAATTTCAAAATAAAAATAACCGGAAACAGACGTAGGCCTATAAGGGACATTTCGAGCACCATTGCGATACACAGCCACTGAACTGATCCTCAGCTATGGTTTAAGCTCACTGATTGGATGTTTTAGCCGCAATACATGTAGGGATATGGTGTTAATGCCATATCAAATCCGAAAAACATTTCTGAGTTTAGGATGGCCGAAGACACTACACTACCCATAATCCCCAGCTATCGTTTAGGACTACTGTCCCTGTGATTAATCTTCAAGCTCTGGGATTGGATGTTGGAGTGGCAGTGCGCCAAGGTTACGCCGAGCGTCAAACAGCTGTTTGAAATGGAACAAAACCACGCCAGACTATCCAAAACTGGAATCGAACGCCCCCCCAGAACTACACATGCTGGCTATTGTGTTTCGCAAAATGTTCTATGGGACGTCTCTACTGAACGTTTTCGTTTTTCCCACAATTAGAAGTTGCCAGTATTAAACACATTGGTGCTATCAAATGTAAAACATATAATTAATAAATGGGTGAAAATCGCTTGTATCCATAATGTGCAGCATTAATATATACCCACATGACAGCTCATTGTTACTTTGTAATTCTACTCCACTACAATTCTGAGGTTAACCTGGTATTTTTACTCCACTACATTTATTTGAGTTACTTTGCAGATTCTGATTAATGATGTAAAATATAAACAACCCTTAAATCAGACTTTAGTTACACCTGAGTAAAATTCAGGTAAGGTGATTGTCAAGTGCCAACAATCAGGAGAGATATTTGATAGTTGGTGCTTGAGAAGACTAAACATTTATCTGCAATTGACATGAATGGAAACGAGTAATAAAGTATATTCATTACTAGTTATTCTCTACTAATAGTTAATTAAAGACTGTATATTATGGCTATTTTGCACATCCCTTTCAAGATTTCAAGATTTTATAAGGTTTATTGACATATCATATATACAACTATGGTGTAGTTATGCAATGAATGAAAAACTTGGGTCGCAGCTGAGGTTCCTCAACAGTGCATTACAAGACATCTATCAATATGTGTGTATACCTCCACCATTAAACTGTCATATTCTGCACATTTCTTATACTATCTATCTACATACATAAGAGTATAATTCATATGTATAATATCAGTTAAAATAAGTGCTTCAACATATCAATCAATCAATCAATGTTTATTTATATAGCCCAATATCACAAATGTTACATTTGTCTCCGTGGTCTTCACAGTTTGTTCAGAATATCAGTATGAGAAAAACGACACCCTCAGTCCCTAGACCCTCACATCGTACAAATAAACACTTCCGGAGAAAACCCACAGTTTAAAGGGAAAAATGGGAGAAACCTCAGGGAGAGCAACAGAGGAGGGATCCCTCTCCCAGGACGGACAGATGTGCAATAGATGCCGTGTGTAAATTGAAAAGATAATACATTTGCAACATAGGTAGTCCAAATATTTGGAAATGCATGTGTTTAAACATAGTTAACATTACAGGAAAGCAATATATTAGACGTTAAGTACTTTGTCAGGCTTAATATTTATCTTTTGATACCCCCAAAGCTTTTTTCTTATTTAAAAGAAGACCTTCATCTAAAGTATTATTTAATGTTTAAATAAAGGTTAATTCGTTTTTCTGTTTTGCACCTCCTCCTATTAATATCTTTGTACATCACTTATAGTATCTTCTTGATTTTTCATATTCTATATTTCTATCACAGACCTTCTACTTTCCCCCTATGAAAGTATGTACTCTTAATATTTTTTTCATCAAATATAACACATAAAACCAATAATTCAATAACGTGCTTTGACCACTAGGCGGTGCACACAAGGTACACACAGCCATAATAACTTTGTATTATTAGTGTAGGACACTTATGTATGTACAACAAGATGTGTAGTTTTATTCATGTTTTCACATAATTTTACAGCATATTGCTATATTATTTCAGACTCAGTATTTGCATTCTTATATTCAAAGAAAATCAGTAATATCTTTAAAAAGTACAAGTCCTTTTATATCAGCTGTGCACCGTTATGGTGTAAATATAATCTATCTATGAATTAGATCAAATGTAAAAGCCAGCCGAATTAGTGTTGATACTGCAAAGAGACGTACAGTGTATTGTGTAAAGAGAAATTGAAGATGTTGTTTAATTGTTGATATATTTATGATCCACTTCAAGTATTCAGTTTCGGCGGCATTTCTTCCAGTTTTTCCAAAGGTCTTCTCATCAGGGCTCTATAAATAAAGAACTACGGCAGATCTGTAATATGTAATGCAGCCGAACCGTGTATTACAATGCTGTTATGTGATGACTTTCAAAGAGAAAAGCAAAAACACTCGGAATAAAGTATTATTATTTTTTTTTTATTAAGTTTTTCGGATTTGATATGGCATGAACACCATATCCCTACATGCATTGCGGCTAAAACATCCAATCAGCGAGCTTAAACCATAGCTGAGGATCTTGGGTAATCAGTTCAGTGGCTGTGTATCGCAATGATGCTATGTCTGTTTCCGGTTCTTTTTATTTTGAAATTCAGTTCCTGACGGACGCCAAAAAAGCCAGAGATTATGGAATTAAACAAATAAATAAAAACAAGGATAATTGTGTGTTATTGGTGAGTAAATAACAGTGTGTTATTTAGAAAAGAATAACAAATTAGAAGGAAAAAAAGATTAAAAAAAATACAGATGTATTCTGAGGCTCTGAGCCCCATTTATTTTCCTCACAGACGACAAAAAAAGTCCGACATTATACGATTTAAAATAAAAACAATAATCGTGGCTTGATATTGAGTAAGAACCAAGCCCCCAGGAAGTGCGCCGGACTCAGATGAAAATATTCGTGGTGGCCAAACGGTGGTACTACATGGGGAAAGAGTGGTCTGTAAATCGTTGGATTTTTTTTTTTTTAACTAAATACCCAGTATGAACGTTTGTATAGCCCTTATTAAAAACATTAGGTCCTCAAGTTGTAAAATGTGCTAACGTTATTCTGAGAGTTATTTTCCTCGGCATTATGAATGCGGATCTAACCCACGGGAATGCACCGCCCGGCACGTTCATGTGACTTGTTCAGTACTACATGAGTTTTTGAATATCCATTTGTGAAAAGAAAATCCAATGACCAAAACCGGCTTACCATGGAGGAGGAAAAGGAGGCTGAGGGAATACAAAATAAAAAAAGTTGTGTATGATTTAGAGAGTACGTGATTCTAATGCAATCACAGACTGACCTTTTCTTGTGCTTGCGCTCATCCTTCCTCTTATGTTTTAAACTTGAAGAACTGGTGGGAAGAAAAATAATAGAATTAAGAGTGAGGCGTATAAAGCCTACACAAGCAGCCTGCTTTCTTACTCATACATGAAAGGAATTGGCTTTTCAGTTGGAAATCTTACCGAAAGCAGAAGCTAAATATTAACTACTTTAAGACACAAATTAATCCAGGTGTTTACATTTTGCTCTTTCAAATGAATATTTAACCATTTGAAAGGCATACATTTGTAATCAAACACATACCTGTGCTTTGACTTTTTGGAGGTATACCTGGAACAGGGGAAAAAAGAGGATTTCAGTTATTTTAAAATAAATGTCATGCCATATTTCCAATATTGTTGTAGAAAGCAAGAACTACCTATGCCGTTTGCTTTTCTTGGAGCTCTTCTTCTTCTTCTTCTTTTTCTTCTTCCTCAGCGGGGACAGGCTGTAGGAAGGAGACCTAAAGCCAGAGAACAAATAAACATGAACTATAGAGAGAACCAAGCTTCTTCCTGTACACATTTTCTTAGTTTGTTTAGTTTAGAGTCATATCATTTTGAGAACTGACCTTTTCCTTTTCCTCTTACGCTCAGACTTTCGCTTTTTCTTCTTCCCCTTGGGCCGAGGGGAGAGCTCCTCATCAACGGAGGGGCTGCGAGCAGAGACAGAACAGAGGGGGCACGTCAGTCTTCAGTGATATGAAATGGGGAATCTCAGCAGCAGCAGAGATTCTAATACTTCTTCCAATGTTTGGACTTTTGGAATTGTATTTACAGAATATATTGCGTTTGCTGAGAGTTAAAAGGTTATTCCACTCAATTTCGAAAAGTTACTTTTTGCTTCCCTCTTGTATTATCTACCAACACAGATAGTTTAAGTTTTATTTGCCAAGTTGGGGTATCCGTCTCTGATATTTCTTCCTCCACCTTATACAACAGAGGTTAATGGATTCTCAACATCCCAGTGGTCATGGGAAATAGGTCCATATTGGACAATTCTAGAGCTCGCAATTTAAATGCAATGCCAAAGATAAGTACATACATTCAGAGTAGGGTGGTCCTTAGTGCCATGCACATTTTCAAATTCATTTATTTTAAGCTCCAACCACCTTCATTCGTTATGATAGTCAAGAAAACTCTCCTGGTGAATTTTATTCAAATTCCAACAGCATTTACCCCTCCCTCATTAACCGTGAAGTTTAGCCTCACGTAGGGTGGTCCTTAAAATCGAAAGTCGGGAAGTCTAAGCTCCAACCCCCAGAATTTATTCTATTGGTCAAGAACACTCACATTCGACCTGGGCTGCCACACCAGCAGCCATGGTGCTGCAACTGAGGCTAAACTTCAAGGTTGATGAGGGAGGGGTAAATGTTGTCAGATTGAGGAAAAAATTCACCAGGAGAGTTTTATTGACTAATAGAATGAATTCTGGGTGTTGGAGCTTAGACTTTCCGACTTTCAATTTTAAGGACCACCCTAATACAGAGCGTGCCTGTGGCATTACATTACATTACATTGCATTTAGCTGACGCTTTTATCCAAAGCGACTTACAATAAGTACATTCGACCAGGAAGACACAACCTTGAAGAAAACAGAATCATATAAGTACATCAGGTTTCATAGAGCCAAACATTTCAAGTGCTACTCAACTGGCTTTAGGTAAGCCAGTCCTTTATTAGTATAAAAGTGCTTCGTTAATAGTTCTAACGCTCGAAGTGGAGTCGAAAGAGATGAGTTTTCAGTTTGCGCCGGAAGATGTGCAAGCTATCTGCCGTCCTGATGTCAATGGGGAGCTCATTCCACCATCTTGGAGCCAGGACAGCAAACCCACGTGTTTTCGCCGATGGGAACTTGGGTCCCCCTCGCAGCGAGGGCGCAACGAGTCGTTTGGCTGATGCAGAGCGTAGTGCACGTGCTGGGGTGTACGGTTTAACCATGTCCTGGATGTAGGAAGGGCCAGATCCATTCGCAGCATGGCAAGCAAGTACCAGTGTCTTGAAGTGGATTCTAGCAGTTACCGGAAGCCAGTGAAGGGAGCGGAGGAGCGGAGTGGTGTGGGAGAATTTAGGAAGGTTGAAGACCAGACGAGCCGCTGCATTCTGGATGAGCTGCAGAGGTCGGATGGCACATGCAGGTAGACCAGCCAGGAGGGAGTTGCAGTAGTCTAGGCGTGAGATGACGAGAGCCTGGACCAGAACCTGAGTCGCTTTCTGAGTCAGCTGGGGATGTATCTTCCTGATGTTGTAAAGCGTGTATCTGCAGCAACGGGTTGTAGCAGCGATGTTTGCAGTGAAGGACAGGTTGTTATCTAGGGTCACACCCAGATTCCTTGCAGTCTGAGTCGGGGAAACAACTAAGGTGCCGATGTTGATTGTTAGGTCAAGAGTGGGACAATCTTTTCCCGGGAGGAAGAGCAGCTCAGTCTTGTCAAGGTTGAGCTTGAGGTGATGATCAGACATCCACTGAGAGATGTCAGCTAGACAAGCAGAGATGCGTGCAACGACCTGGGTCTCTGAGCGGGGAAAGGACAGAATTAATTGGGTGTCATCAGCGTAGCAGTGGTAAGAAAAACCATGCGGGCTAATGACTGATCCGAGCGAGTTTGTGTACAGGGAGAAGAGGAGGGGACCAAGAACAGAGCCCTGAGGGACCCCCGTAGTTAATTGACAAGGGTCGGACTCAGACCCTCTCCAAGTCACCCTGTAGGTACGGTCTTTCAGGTATGAGGTGAGGAGGGAAAGTGCAGAGCCTGAAACTCCAAGTTTTCGGAGAGTGCGAAGGAGGATCTGGTGATTCACCGTGTCGAATGCAGCAGACAGGTCCAACAGGATGATGACAGAGGAGAGGGATGCAGTTTTGGCAGTGTGCAGTTCCTCCGTGACAGCAATGAGAGCAGTTTCTGTGGAGTGACCTGCCTTGAAACCAGACTGGTGCGGATCCAGAAGGTTGTTCTGATGGAGATAACAGGAGAGTTGTTTAAAGACAGCGCGTTCAAGTGATTTAGACAGGAACGGGAGGAGAGAGACAGGCCTGTAGTTTATAACATCAGACGGGTTGAGAGTGGGTTTCTTTAGGAGAGGGTTTACTCTTGCCTCCTTGAGACTGTTTGGAAAGTGACCAGAAGTTAGAGAAGTGTTGATGAAATGGGTGAGAAACGGTAGAATATCAGGAGCGATAGTCTGAAGGAGGTTTGAAGGGATAGGGTCCAGAGGACAGGTGGTAGGGCGGGCAGAGGTAATGAGGGTAAGAACCTCACTTGGAGAGAGAGGGGAAAAGGAGGTAAGTGTGTTGGTGGAAGGAGGGTCTGGTGACCCAGCGGTGAGTAAAGGTGAGTCAGAAAAAGAAGAGCGAATATCATCAACCTTTTTTTCAAAGTGGGTAACAAAGTCGCTTGACAGAAGTGAGGAGGGGGAGGAGCTTTTGGAGGGTCCAAGAGGGTGGAGAAGATGGAAAATAGTTTTTTAGGATTGGAATAGGAAGATTGGATCTTATCTTGAAAGAAAGTGCTTTTTGCCTGAGAGATCGAAGCAGAGAAAGAGGAGAGGAGAGCTTGATAGGTTAGGAGGTCGTCATGGTGTTTGGATTTCCACCATTTCCGCTCTGCTGCCCTAAGGACGGTTCTATTAGCACGCAGTGCATCATTTAGCCAGGGAGCAGGAGGGGACTGACGAGCCTGCCGAGATGTGAGAGGACAGAGCGAGTCCAGAGTGGATGAGAGAGTAGAGAGGAGAGTTTCTGCAGCAGAGTTTGGAGGCAGGAGATGGAACGAATCAGAGGAAGGGAGGGCTGAGAGCACCGACGAGGCAAAGGTAGAGGGGGAGAGGGAGCGAAGGTTACGGCGGACAAGTGCAGGATGGGAAGAGATTAGTTTGTTATGTTTGGAAAGGGATAGAGAGAATGAAATGAAGAAGTGATCGGATGTGTGGAGCGGGTTTACAGAGAGGTTAGAAGTAGCGCAGTTCCTTGAGAATAGACAGTGTGGTGGAGCAGTGTGCATTCAAAAATGACCAATTAAGCGTTGGGTTTTTTATTGACTTTAACCACGACCTTACCCTGAGCTTAGCCATAGTGCAGTTGCTATGCACACATTCAGTGGAACAAGATAATTAAAAAAACAAGCATTGTTCGAAGCGGATAACACAAAACAGAAGCATTGGTACTGAACAAAAGTGAAAAACAATCAATCTTGACATGCTTTCCAGGCAACAGGGTTGACGATCCTGTGGTGGTGCTCAAAGTATTACAAAATATCTAAAGTATTTAGGTTAATAGTGGTTCTTTGTCCATTTCAAATTTCACTTTTCAAGGCTGTGAGCGCAACTAAAGAGAATTGTGAACATTTGTTTTTGTGCCATAGCCCTTGCTGGAGGCAATATATTATAAGTTATCTACCAATTTGTACATGTGATGCCCCAGTGTAAAAGTTGCTTACTTTTCTACAGTTTTCTATACCTTTCAAGTCATAAAAAATTGTTTTCCTAAATTATTTTCCGGCAAATAACCCTCACAGAATGAGTGGGGTAAAATAATCCACATGACTCATGGCTGGCATCACACAACTGCACGCAAATGCATCCTGATTCCCTCTCACAACAAACACAAGCAAGATTATCTGTGAGCTGAATGTCCTATACCAGATGATCCCATCACAACAGGATGATGAAATCCTATCGGGACTGTTTTAAAGTACAAAGCAGATCGCATGCCAGTGAGTGTCACTGAAGTTGAGGCTGATGACAACATGGCCTCTCTCAGAGGGGGAGATAGATATGTGATACACCCCATCCCCTGCCAGCGCCCATAGCTTAAGCCTTGGAATCTGTGTTGTACATTTCTATTGGCTGTAATAATTGTATATTTTCTACTGTACCAACACATATACGGTACAAAACATAACCTGTAATCTTTCACTGTGTTCAATGTACATTCAGGCAATAATCCCTATACAATATTACCTTTATGAATGTAAGAATTGATTGTTTAATAATATCCTTTTTTTATCCTGATAATTAAAACATTTTGGATTCTTGTGAGAAAAACTATGTTAGGAAAAGTGTTTTTATTTATCTTAGGGATTCTCTATAATTCAATTGAGTATGGGTACTTAGAGAGTACTAAGAGACTTGTTTTACTCTATTAAGTGAAATATTGATCACTGAGCATTTGGGATCTGAGTAGCTGCGACTTGGCTGTGTGACCAAATTATGTCACTGCAGGTATATTTCTCCGGACCACAGGAAGCGTGCACATGAGCGTTCTCGCGCAAAAATACCAGTCCAAACAAATCCTTTCCAAAAAGGCATGTTTTGCACAAGTCATTACCAATAAACGAAACTTGTCTGATTCCATCTGTTGAACAGCTTGATTGCTGTCCAGAGGTCCGCTTAATTTTCTCTCTGAAAATGACTGATGTGCGAAGGGAGATGAGGGCCTTTGAAGCACCACAGGTTCACTGAGTGAGCCTTTCAAGTGCAGACCAACTGAATCTCATAAGAAGCAAAGACAGGGGGTGTGAGCGAGCATGTAGGGTGGTACAGGGTAAAGGAGAGATGTACAATAACATCATGTTGAATGCAACTCACTCCGGCAGCTTCACCTTGCCTTTGATAAGGAGGTTTAACATTTGCTTCATTTGGAAATCTGGAAATGGTG